CTGTGGTTCGGTTCGCACCTGCGGGGCCGCCAGCAGCACCTCCGCCCCTCCTGGCCTGCAGCCCACCGAGGCAGTTGACCCCCTTGGACGGGCCCTCGCTCAGCAACTGGCTCCGGTAGCCAAAATAGTGGCTGGGGGGGGCTAGCCATGGCTAGGGTAGGCCCATGGAGCCGGTGGGGCACGTGTTGTTCACGTGGTTTTTGGGAAACCTTTCCCCAGGTTATAGTTGTTGACCTGACTGCTGGTCTCCAGTGCTGGCACGCAGTGATCCTGCTGCAAAAGTAACGAAAACTCAGTATTCTCCGTCCTTTTTAGCCTGAAACTGTGCCAAGAAAAGAAATTCATTAGTGTTTAAGTTTCTGATGGATGAGGGAGGTGGCCTCAGAAGTGGATGTGCCGTTTAGTGGAAAGCCTTATCGTGAGAAGGGAGATGAATGATGAAATCTAACCTCTCCTCATCTGCGTTTCCCTGTGTGGGAAGTAAACACCTGGCAGTAAATGGGGAAAAGCCAGAGCATGGGTCATTCGTATTGAACCAAAGTAACATAGGCAGAGAGAGGGCTGAGCAAGAGAGGAGCTGAAAGGGCAGAGTTTATAATGTTTAGGTAAATGTTAAAATCTGTGGTTTGGAGTGGTCACACCCCTACAGCAAAGGCTGATTTTGTTAGAAAAATCGGTGTTACAATTTTCACGAAGTTTAGAAGGACTTCGGTATAACTCCCATTTTTTCTCTGAGTTCTCACTCTACATTAGTGGCTTCTTGAAAGCACAAGTTTGTCTTGTGACCATCCAAAACATCTGCATATTTACAAATCCTGGTCTGGTCTGAGCCTTACTTCATGCTAAAAGCCATACTGGATTCAACAGGGAATGGTTCCATCACTAAGAACTGCTAACAGCAGTTATGCCTTCCCTGTATAAAATGATTTTATTTTTTCCCCCCGCGATGCTTAACACCAAAATTAAAAGCCATGATTTGAGAGAGATTTGTTTTGGCAAATGCTTTTAATTTCTTCAATGTCTCTAGCAACAATGTACTTCTTAGCAACCCTGCATGTATTTTACTCCCTCTGGAGCTCTAGTCAGTTATTCGTTGACTTAAAGATGAGAATGGTCTGGGGTTTAGTGACTTCTTGAATTTTTGGTTTTGGTGGTTTTGAGAACTTGTTTGGAGGCGGCTGTTTCGTTATCCCTTTACCATCTACTCCTTTTTCAGCAGTTTGAACCTTCTTGCTCTTCTTTATGGCCCTTTTGGGTAAATACTAGAGTGTGCTTCCTAAAGCACTGTCACGGGTGCTGAGTTCACTGCCTCTAATTAAAGATACAAAAATCTGTACATGAAGATTTGCAAGTCACCTAAATTGCAGAGCAGTGTTTTTCAAAGTGGAGTTTAAGGGATTGAGGCTAGAGCCATACTATTGAAAAAAGCAGAAATGCAGTAGTTACCCAAATTCCTCAACTGATGTTAATGATTCTTGTCAGACCCCTAACTATAGTGCTTGAGTTTTCTCCCTTGTGTCCTTGAATTCTGAATTAGTGCTGAGTGTTTCTTGCCACTTATGATAACCACCTGGAATGCAAAGGGCACCAGTATTCAATACAAATGCATAACAATGAATGAAGCATCCTTAATTTCATACTATACATGTTTGCATAAACAAACTGAAGAATAAGGGAAGATGGTATATATTTCTGCCTGAAAGTCATTCAGATCTTGTGTGTCCCATGTGTTTGCTGTCATTTGATAGTTACCAGCAGCAGACTGTCTTGAGGGGTTTGGTTGCGTGTCTCAGTTCCTGACCTTTTTTTTCTTTCTTTCTTTTTTTTTTTTTTTAATTTTATTTTCCCTGTTTAATCAAATTAGAAGTTTTGGAAGAACTGCCAGAAACAAGTGGGAAAACGGCACGGCGTTTCTTCTTTAATTTAACTTCCATCCCTAATGAGGAGTCTATCACCTCAGCTGAACTCCAGATTTTTCGGAAACAGGTGCATGGAGCCTTTGAAAACAACAGCAGCTACCATCACCGTATTAATATTTATGAAATTATAAAGCCAGCCACAGCCACCTCTAAGGACCCTGTCACAAGACTTTTGGACACCAGGTTGGTGCATCATAATGCAAGTAAATGGGAAAGTTTTGATGTTACGCCAGCTGTTTTGAGGTGGATTGCACATGGACAACCTAATCATGGGTTTGTGGTAGAGGTGGTTCACTTGGACAAAGAGAACAGTGCCTCCAAGAGGCACGTTAGGATTAGCAGGTCTTTACATCAGGATGAAGATAGCTGGTCTCAGCTGAGGCCGTTGTTAGTAACGTTTGGGCATGATGGCAAGGGACACCCGCTTCATAAAAGAGAAAAGCGTCAAGCGAAACACAAACAGCGTAAACGCCACAAATACAGTTGCAAAAGGCATCCGTTATATGTGGACTTCAATGACGTGGGGTGGAATGACTGGATTGTTGCCCCACCGGGGTATAGTGCCTTTTACTGCCATGGGGAATGTCCTTTTCCACTGGCAGATCATCTAAACTCAACAAACCATGCCATTGTTCAGACTTTGGTCAATTCAGTGAATTCCAAAATCCCCAAGGCTTGCTGTGTGCCGACAGAACTGAGTGCTATTTCCATGCTCTACCTTGATGAAAATGAAAAAGTTGTATTAAAGAACTATCAAGATATGGTTGTGGAGGGTTGTGGGTGCCGCTGACACAGCAAATATATTAGACAAATGCAAAAAAAAAATAGCTGACACTTTAATATTTCCCAATGAAGACTTTATTTATGTAATGAAATGGAAAGAAAAAACACAACTATTTTGAAAATATATTTATGTCTACGAAAAAGTTGGGAAAACAAATATTTTAATCAGAGAAATATTCCTTTAAAGATTTTAAATGTATTTTAGTTGTACATTTTATATGGGTTTAACCCCAGCACATGAAGTATAATGGTCAGATTCTTATTTTGTATTTATTTACTATTATAACCACTTTTTAGAAGAATAGCTAATTTGTATTTATATGTAATCGAAAAAGAAAAAAATATAGGGTTTGTACATAATTTTTCAAAACTGTAGCTGTTTCAATTGTGTATATTTAAGTTGAAAAGAATACATGGAAGGTTACTATGGCAAAGTGCATAGCACATTTGCTTTCTGCTGTGCTACTGTTAAGGTCACAAGTTCAAGTCCAGAAAAAAGTGGATAATCCACTCTGCTGACTTTCAAGATTATATTGTACAATTCTCAGGAATGCTGCAGGGTGGGCTGTCCAATCCATGAGAACTGGCATCCTCTTTAGGCGGAACATTTGGATAAGAACCAGACGTTGCTGATCTAGTATAAATACTGCTATTCCCAACTAATTTGCAGTGTGAATATAAGAAGGGCCAATAGAAATCCTATGGGAGGTGGGGGTGGGGGAAGACTGAATCCTTTCTAGACCTACAGAAAAGTGAATGTTTGATGTTTCCTTTAAAAGTCCTTCCTTTAAAAGCCCTGGCCAAATACAAAATAATAAAAACTAAAATGTCATCTTTTTTTTTTTTTTTTTTTTGTGATTATCTATGCTAAAGAGGAATACTTACCTTATTTGTACCAGCCCTTGTCTTTAACAGTTGAAAAAGCATTGCATACTTCCTCGTCTCAGATGAGAGTTCACTTCTGTGGAGTGTTAGAGTGAAATTTATCTGCAATTTTTGCCCTACATACAGCATGCTGTTGTCATATGCAGCCTCCTATAAAACCTCAGCTGATAGTTTTGCTGTCTGGCAGATTAGCCTTTCTTCATTTCCAGGGTTTTGTGTTCGAAAGCTTATTTTTTTTCCCAAAAATGTTTAAATCTATTTCAGATAATAAATCATAGAACTCTGATATTTCTTTCTGGAAAGTCCAGTCTGTAAGAAAAAATGGTTCAGTTGTGCAGTCATCAAAAGAATAACTTGTGCTTGCATCTTCTTGCATTTCAAATCCTTCATGTGAGGGGCAAAAGTGTGATTTGTAATTGGCAAATGCAGCATTAAAGCTGATACTGGTTGTGCCTATTGTGCATTACAAGCCTGGTCTGGCAGCCAGGTTCCTAGGGCGAGCAGGCAGAGCCTGAGTTGCTTCTTGTGTGAAAGTTGTGCTGGAATAGTAGAGCAGGGAAGAGTTTAAATGGGCTTCTTGGTCATCCCCATGTGCACTGTCGTGGATCTGCTTCTGGATTTGGTGAACTGAGGCAGCACTTCCCAAAGCCATGTGTATAGTGGGCCCTTAGAGACCTCCCTAAGTCAACTCTGCTAATCTCTGATTTGGGCCTCCTCTCAGCCTAGCTTTTTATTAACAGAAACCTCGTTTCTCATGGTCCTCCCCAAACTCCTCCTTTTTCTACCAGAATAACATGTTTGCAGCTAAATAGGTTAGTTGATCAGAAAGGCTAACTTGATGATGCCTTACAGGTCTTCTTGTAGAACTCTACTGCTAATTATCACAAAAAGGAATGGGTACAGAGGATAGGAAAGAAAATATCTTGGGCTAGCTGTTAGGTTCTGTAGTGAAATAAAAATGTCTGTATTTCTTTGTGGCAGCAGTATTTTTAACAGCTATTGGAGAACAATCCAGCACTGCAGTTTGGCTCTGCTTATTTTTGAGAAGTAGCTGATGTTGGTCATGCTGATACTACATGCAGCCTATGAGTTGCCTGAGTGCACAACCTCCAGGTGCTTTCTTCAGAAGACTGGTGCTGTTTTGTTGGGTAATGTTTTTTAAGGGGGAAGTGCAGGAGTTTAGTTTTCTTTTTGCTTGTTGCCAGCTTTACTGGTGATGGATGAGTTTATGGCTGCTGCTTTGCCAAGGGTGTCAGTCGCAGGATATGTGCAGTGGATGTTCTTCAGGAATTCACTGTTTGTCGTGTGTGGTTGTGCCAGTCAAGCCACAGCGGTGCTAGTGCATTCTAAAATCTTAGCTTGCAAAAGCAGGTTGCAAAGTGCTGAAAATGTGATGATGGGCAGGAAGAGTATGATCCCAAACCTGCTGAAATCAGTAAAGAATCCACTGCACTTCTAACCAGAGCCTCTGCTCTGGTGCTGCAAGTCTTAGGTTTCACAGCTTCTAGCCATTCATGTGTAACGAGACTGAGAGGCTTTTCACGGAGTGGTGACTGCTTTACTTCTCCTGTAAGGCATGAGAACACGTTGATGCTAATCTTGTTTCCAAAACTTGGCTACAGCACTTGTCTATGCATGAGCAGTAGCTGGCTCATGGCGTGATGCCGCATTCCTTGCAAAGGGAAACCTCCTGTGCTTGACAAAGAATTGCATCCTTAGTAAAATACATTGTGAGGCTAATGTCTAATTGCAAACCTATTAAGACTCATTCTTGTAAGCATTTCTATACCTGCTCAGTGGTAGTCACAGGCTCATCAGTTCCATACTGATTTTTGAGGAGGAAACATACATGTGTCAAGCTCAGCACGTCCATACATTTCTGCAGAATTTATTTCATAATATATCTTTAAATCCTTAACCTCCCTCTCTAGATTGGAGACATGAGACTGCTGCATTAAAGACTTTGTTTAGGATTTCAAGTAAAAGAAACAAAACAAGCTTTCATAGATGAGTAGTGGACAATTCTCCTAGAGATCATTTGGGTTCCTGAATTCTTTTAGATAGAGTCAGACAGCCCATCTGAAAGGTTTGGGCTTTCTGACATCTTTTGAACATCTGGTAATGACTGCTACATAATGCTGAATACTAAAGGTATGCTGTTACCAGAGCACTCCAGTACTTTAGTTCTTTAGTACTTGTCAGTGTTACAGTGCTCTACAAGGAGAAATGTGCTTTTTTTCCCCTCTTAAGAGGGGAAAAAGAAAAATATTTGGAAGGCAAAGCTGCCTTTGTTACCCTGTAGCACCTAAAAATTTTGCTTGTAGGCACTTAAATAATCTATATAGGCAGAGATTGTGATAGATAATGTCACCCTTTGTGCATTTCAGATAAGCATCTCTCTAAACACAAATGTGATCAGCATCTCTCCTTGTCCTTTTGAGACTCAGTAACAGCTTTGTCGAGTGGCTTGATAATTTTTGCGCAAAATTCAGTTGGACTTCTGTGGTCAGCAACATGTAAAAATGACGTGGGAGGATCTTCTGTTGAGGTAAGCTCTCCTGAGAGCATTGGCCATTTTCATCGAGCAGGGTTTGCTCTGCTGGGCTAACCTGGGCTCACCATGTTCAGGCATTGAGACCTGCTCCTACAATAATTGGGTTTGGATGGCCACAGACTATCACCTGCTTCCTCCCACCAAGCAGTTGATGTCTCAATTTGTGCCATCCATCCTGGTGAGGCTTGGAGACGAACATGATATGTTGTGTACTCTCAGCTTTGAAGGAGGAGCTCATCTGGACTGCATTTATGCTAGACCCACTTTCCTACATTATTAGAAGAGGATAATTATTGAACTATTTTATTGTACAGCTATTCCTAAATTGTTGATTTTCAGGTTTTCTTTTAATTGATTTCAGGAGGCAGCTAATTGCCATATGGCAGCTTGATATGAATGTTTTATGAAGATCAGGAAACAAAAGTTTATGAAAAGCTTTTGTATAGTAACTGCAGAGTTTCAAGAACTGTTTTATACTTCCTGACAGTGCAGGTCTGGCTTAATGGTTTGTTTTTATTGCTTAAGAGTGTAAACCTTTCTTTAGCCGATGTGTGGAAATTATATCCTCATCCCGCATTACGCATTTCTCATTGC